ATAGTTCCCGCTGACTGGTTGGAGTGAGTTAGTCCATTGCATGCCCCATGGGTCGGTCTATAGCCCAGCGGCAGTTAATGTAAGCGGCTATAGTACTAGAGCTACTCTGCATGGTGACATCGCTGCCGTTATTCCGCTATCGCACTGTTACGCTAACCAGGGTCACTGATATCGACTACGCATTCGTAGAGTTGAGTAGATTTCTCGTAATTTTCTGAGAGCCCATACGATCTGAAGTGTCGTCGTTTGTCGCAGTGATTGCTGCGATGCGTAGATGAGTGCGTGTGTTAGCGTAGTGTGTGCGGTGCCCGCGTGAGGGTTTCTGGCACGCGCCACAGATGCTGGGGGAAGGAGGGGGTGGCGAGCAAAACAGGAAACTTTTTTCGCGTCTGACAGGTTGAGTAGATGCTCTCTGCCTGCTTGCCAGCGATTGCCAATTTGTCTGCAAAAGAGTGTTTATATATAGGCCATGTAGACTTTATAGCGATACAGTTCGCATAGCCTATAGGAGGTGTAGCGAATCTTGTAGGTTTGCATGCGTGCATGGATCTGCGTGTGTGCGTGCGTGCGTGCGTGAGTGTATGCACCCACGTGGGCACACAATTGCCATTGTGGCTGTAGGCAAAGGTACGTTCCCCCTTTCCCACGGCTATCTTCCTGCTGTCCTTTCTCCACGTGCTTCCATTTATTACAGTAAGCTGTTGCTTTAACGTTTGGGTCAGTTGTCCTAGTTAGAGATAGTGTGCAGAGTTAGTGCAAGGGTTAGGCCTAGGATCAGAATTCGCCTGGTCTTTTTCCACAGCCCTTTCTCCACCTGTCCTCGTTTATCACGTTTATTGGTCCCTCCTGTCGTTTTGGGGGCTTTTCCTTCGCATGTTAATCGATGTGCTGTTTGCTTTCAGCTCTGTGTGATATGCATCCGATGCGAGCGCTGTTTCTAATTCCAAGAAATCCTCCACCCAAGCTAAAGTCGAAAAAGTGGTACGTGTTCCGCCAATGTTCAGCCGTTCATCTGGAAGGATGAATAAAATTCTAGCGGTAGAAAAAGCGTAATGTTGCTTACCCAAATCAATTCCCTTGATTTGAAATAAAAAATAAAAAATGGTATATGCAATTATTATGCATGCTGTATGATAAATATATGGCAAATGTATTGACAAATGTGGGTATATATTGACCAATGATATATACTGAATGCTCGGATAATATATTGACAAATGAGGATATATACTGGCATCTCCTGATTATTGAGGATGTGCATTGACCAGTGAGGATGTAGTAATCGATTGTGATACGTGCTGATCATGAACGCTCCGTGTTGAATTTCATCGAATCATCATAGAATTATCATCGAATCGTCATAGACATATCATCGAATCATCATTGAATAATGTGCAATATATCATTGTTGCAATGTCTCGATTGCAGGTCGAAGAAGTTTCACAGTTTCGTCGACACGTGTCTCATCAAGGACTACCACCACCGGCCGTACACAGACACGCTGCTCAAGCACGCGTTCATCCGCGACCAGCCGACCGAGCGACAAGTGCGCATCCAGATCAAAGACTTCATTGACAGGTGAGATAAAGATATAAGAGACGTGTGGCAGACTCTCCGTTTTGGTTGTGCTGCTGACGGATTGATGAATAAATCATTATGCTCACACTCTGTATAAAGTAGTGACACTCACGTATTTAGAAGTATAGTTGGCCACTTTATAAACTTTATAATTTATTCATCAACCCGTCAATTTGCCATTTAAGAATTGATGAGATGAATAAATGATTATATTCACACTCTGTATGAAGGAGTGTCACTCTGTTATATATTAGGTAGTGTACTTGGCCAGGTCTGATCTACTGGCGGATTGATGCATTGATGAATAAATCATTATGTTCACACTCTATATAAAGTAGTGACACTCTGTTACGTATTTAGAAGTATGGTTGGCCACTTTATAAACTTAATAATTTATTCATCAATCCGTCAATCTGTCACTGTCTGATTGATGATTATGTTATTATGTTCAGACTCTGCAGGGGTAGAAATTAACTTTTGAACACGGAAGAGGGAGTCCGCGGCAAAATGAGGGAGTTTGCAGCCTGAAGTTCAAAATTAAAGATATTAACAATAACGCACGTTCTTATTTTGAAGATTCATGCGGTTGCACGTCTGCCAAATTTTCTTTGGACATTTGCTGAAAAAATACGCTAATTCCGCAAGGCCGTGCTCTGGAATGAACTAGTTAGTATGGCAGAATTTTCAGGGAGTCACACGGACTCCTGCATATGTCAAATCAGGGAGTCCGGCAGTAAATCAGGGAGTATTTGACTCCGGACTCCCGTTAATTTCGCACCCTGCTCTGTATGAAGGCGTGAGATTATGTTACGTGTTAGGTAGTGTACTTGGCCAGGTCTTATCCATTTTAGTAGTTCTTCCTCTCCAGGTTCTCAGTGTTATCTCTAGTTTGTTAATATATTGGCATCAGTTTATCGCCATGTTGGTCTGTAATGTGTGAGTATTTCTGCATCAGAGTATCGTTGTTGTCTGTAATGTGTGAGTATTTCTGCATCAGGGTATCGTTGTTGTCTGTAATGTGTGAGTATTTCTGCATCAGGGTATCATTGTTGTCTGTAATGTGTGAGTATTTCTGCATCAGGGTATCATTGTTGTCTGTAAAAGTGTGAGTATTTGGCTTCAGGGAAGGAAAGAAGAGGGCGAGAACAGGAGCCTGAATGAGTACAGTGGCACGCGCGAGGGAGAGACGATGTAGGAACGCGTGAGCACGGTGAACCTAGGTGAGTTACCAGGGTATGGTCAGTGAAAGTATAGTGTTATGCTGCAGGATCACTGTTGCACAGCAAGGAATAGATAAATAGTGCAAATAAGTCTGAAATAAACCATGCATTCTCACAGGAAGAAAACGGGTATAGGAATTTTTAAGTTTTCATCATTCCACTGATATATCTGTATCGTGTTTCATCACTCTTAACTATACCACTGACCGTAAGCCATTAACAGTAGGTGCCATACGCTATATCTGACTGGCTACTGATTTCACACGCTCCATAAATAAAAAATTTGACAATTTAACAGCAAGTTTCCACCGACTCTAGTGTGAACACTGTAAATTACTAAGCTGTCACTGGTGACCTGTTAGTGTTTGTACTTACTGATGTTGATAATTCAATACAAACAATACAAACAACGTGAAACAGTAACCCTAATGTCCAAGCAAACATACAAATTCATATTTGTACCTAATGACCTTAAGTACGATGTTGAATGTAACAATAGGAACTAATACTGCGCTCTTTCTTTCTCTGCTTCCTCTCTCCTCTCTCTCTCTCTCTTCTGCTCTCTCTCTCTCTCCTCTGCTCTCTGCTCTCTTTCTCCTCTCTCTGCTCTCTCTCTGCTC